AAGGTTAATGCAGACAGGGCACATGACTTCCTGAGAGACACCGGTGATCTCTGTGATGTGAGACCCAAATGAATAGGGATGGGGAGGGCAAGGAAAACACCTCAACAGGAACTTGGAGATGGTTATTCTTTAGTGGGGGTTAAAGTTCTGGCAGACAATGGCCTGCTTTTATGCAACTCAAAGAGTCAAAATATAAAGGAAATCTTGACGTAGGAGAAGTATAATTCTATGGGGAGGTTCTTTTTCATAGTGTAATACCCACTATCCTGAAATTCCATGAAAACCACTCCAAAGATAAAATGAATGCTGAAATGTCATAGTGAAGGCAGGGAACTGGTGCCTGAGTACCCAGGTCAAACAGTCTCAAAAGCAGCTTTCAGTTCCGTGGGTCCTACAGTTTCAGTTATTAATCTAAGGAAATCCATAGGGTTCCCAGGATAGTCCAGGATAGCTAGCCTTGCAAGCATTAGGCAGAGAGTTCAACACCAGAAGCACTGTACAAGCTGATTATGACCTGGCAGCACTGCCCTTGGGGATTCTCTCTATCACAATAAAAGTGAATGTCTGCCAAGCACCACAGCTAAAGTGTGTGAGCACTGCAACAAAGTGTGTGACTCTCATTAATTGCAACAATGACTGACTGCAGCAATGAAATAAAGGGAAGAGAAACAAATATATGAAAGAAAATGCTCTTTCGATGGTGGATTCATTTCTGAAAGATACTACTTTTGGTTGTCATTAAGTCTTTGGTGGTATAACTATGTTGCAATAGAAGGGAAGTTATAAAATTGACCTTTAAAAAGTTTCTCATTTAGCCCACCGCCAGTTGAGGTGAAAGCCCATAATTCATTCCTCAGCATAGACTAGACTAGGACAGCCTCAAGACGTGTCCTCTCTTAAATGTGTGCTGGTTTGTGTGTTTTGAAGAAGCACGTGACATCCATGGGAAGATCAACACTGAACAAATACAGGTATGGGTTTGAGAAAGATTAGTAAGCAAATGCCTTATTAATAGGCATTTATTCTTATTTTTTTGAAAGTGTGGCTTGGAGCATTCAGCCGAAGAGAAGAACAACATGGAGGGCGGGATCCACAGATCCCGAAGGAAAGTGTGGCTTGGACTATTAGAACATGTAGCCATGACTTGAATGGAGGGCTCTCAGCCAGAGTGTGAGAATAGGCTCTGAAAATTCTCTGTATATGGCCAATGTAGTCTAAGGATGCTCTATCCCTCAAGGTTTATGTAACTCAAGTCCTCCATGGCTATGGAAAGCCCAGATTCTAGAAACTGATAGTAGATTAACTAGCAGGATTAGGCTGGATGCCCCATTTACTACTTACTAAGTGAGAAAGAACCTCTGAGGTAGTGCTAATAAATCAATAATTGATATTTTCTCCCCTCACTCTCACCATTCTATTTCCCCTGGGGCTATGAAATGACCTTGAATCTTGCTACCCAGGAGTAACCTTGAAATGTCTATCTATTCTCCTCTTCCTTCACAATTCCATCAATCACTTGGTTCAGAGACCAATTCCTGTGAGCTTAATTCCAGAGAACTCTCTGTTAGATCACATCTCTAAATCTTCATTCTCTGAATTTCACCTATTCTACAAATTATCCCCAAAACACTTTTATCCAAAGCTTTCAGATGTTTCTTCAAATAACCCAGATAAAATATCAGCAACAGTGAATTGCAGAGTCAAGACATGGGGTTTCTATAATAACTCTGCTCTTCATCAGATGTAGTATGTCCTTGCAGAATTGTTTAATCTGCCCAAATCTGGTTTCCTGTATGTGGGGGTGGACAACAGTACTTACCATGGATGTCATTTATAAGGATTTTAACTGAGACAATGGTTGGGGAAATCCCAATGTGTTACACTATTTCTGGATGCAACAAAAGAAATTCAACTTTCAATGATATAAACTTAACACTGTTTTGTGTGCCAACTTTGTGCTGGATACCATCAAAAATGCTTGAATGAATCCTCAAAACAGTCCTAATTTATAGATGGGGAAAGCAAGATACACAAATGCTACTTAATTTGTCCACATGGTAGGCCAAAAAGATGGGCTGGAGCAATAGCACAGCGGTAGGGTGTTTGCCTTACAAGCAGCCAACATGGCCAACCTGAGTTCAATTCCTCTGCCCCTCTCGGAGAGCCCAGCAAGCTACCGAGAGTATCTCGCCCGCACGGCAGAGCCTGGCAAGCTATCCGTGATGTATTCGATGTGCCAAACACAGTAACAACAAGTCTCATGATGGAGACGTTACTGGGCCCGCTCGAGCAAATTGATGAACAATGGGAGGACCGTGCTGTGCCAAATGGTAGAATTGGGGAGGGTTATGAAGTCGAGGGGTATTTAATAGGCAGTTCCTGGGTGATGGAGATTTTTGAGGAAGAGGGATAGTAACTCCATCATCAGATTGGAGAATAGACATGGAAGAACTAAATGACTGTTTAGAAGATAGTTCCATGTTCTTTGGAGACCTGGTTAGAGTGATCACCACTGCCTATCTGACACTTCCTGTTACAACACAACCCTGAAAAAACGAGATTAGTCGGTTTTGGTCACTGGTGTATCTCCAGTTGAATACATCCATATCTGCATGGAAAAACAGATGTTAAATAATCCACAAATGCATCAATGAATAGTGTTAAATAGATGTTTATATCCATGGATGAACTGTGCTAAATGAATCCATGTATGCATAGACACAGAGTGTTAAATTCATCCAGATATGTTCATATGAATATCAAGTACTCATACAAACTTTGCTGAATTGATTACAAAGGAATAAACAGGCAGGATTCCTATGAAAGAGGTTAGGTGAGTCCCCACTGTATGTACCAAATACGAATCCAATCAACTCTCAACCAAACAAGAGTTGGATCAGGAAACGCCTTGGGTGTCAGACTCCCACATTTAACCTTGCTCTTCAAGGTAAGTTTGGAACCACTGCCCTGCTTCCAGTTGGTGAGGAACATGTCCAGACAGCCTGTGTGACACCCATGATAGTGTGGAGAATGCTGCAAGGGAGGAGCTAGCAAAGATGGGCAGATTTCTGGGGGGTACATGGAGTCCTTCCTGGGAACCTCAAAAGTTCATAACAGTGAAAGGAAAAGTGAACTTCTGAGGCAGAATCTATGCTACCAACTTTGTATGAAAGGAAATTGAATGGCTGCTGATTGGTGTGTGTCTTCCCAACAGGTGTTCCTTTTTCAAGGTCAGTTACTTTTTTATGTGGAACTGAAGACAGTTTAGGGTTTCAGGAGAAATTGTTACCCTCACTGAAAGAATGCAGATTACCTAGAGTTAGGGACAACTCTGAAGCAATCTTCTTTTTTTTTTCTTAATCAGAGAAACCTATCTTAAGGCAGGGCTAACATCCAGAGGCAAAGTTTTATCATATGAAATCATGCCTTCCTCATGATGTGAGAACCCTTCCTTGCTCCCTGAGTGACACATGAGGTCCCTTTACATAGGATGACACCTTTGGGCCACCCACTTACTTTAGAATTTATAGCCAGGCCAATTTCCTACACATAGGTGACTATATTCAGTCTTCTCATACTAATCTGTTTGATATTAATTTAAAAAAATCTTATTGAGTCACCATGATGATAAAAAGTTGTTCATGATGATAATAATTTTTGTCCAGCTTCAGAGCAACTCAAAGAAATGGACATGTTTCTCTCTATCTCAGAAATAAATACTGTCACAAAGGCTGTATTTGAGGATGCCCTTTATTGAATGCTGACTGGAAAAATAAGATTTAGGATCACACCGTGGTGTGCCTAGCATATAGGGTGGTTGTTAGCAAGTTCCTGGATTCCTGAGGGTGTGGAGCTTCCTTTGTAGAGCAAAGAGGGTGTTTCCAGGGTCGCTGTAGTTTCTTCCAGTCCTTCCATTCCTGATTCTGATTCTGTGAACTTTTGAACTCTGGGATGATCTTTAAAAAAGGCTGGAAGGGAACTTCATGGAGCTCAGGTAAGAGCCACAGAGTGAAATGATCTTTTCACTTTTGTTGGTGGGGGGGGGGGCACACGTGACTGTGCTCAGGGTTTACTTCTGGCTCTGCACTGGGTGAACATTCCTGGTAAGGGACCATCTGCAGAACCTGTGGACAAGGCAACTGCCCTTCCCCTGTGCTCTCTCTCCAGCCTAGGTCAAGTGAGTTTGTTGCAAAAATGCCACATTCTGTGTATTTTACAGATAGGAAGATCAGAGCTCAGCAGGCTGGAGCAATAGCACAGCGGGTAGGGCATTTGCCTTGCATGCAGCCAACATGGCCCTCCCGAGTTCGATTCCTCGCCCCTCTTGGAGAGCCCAGCAAGCTACCGAGAGTATCTCACCCGCACGGCAGAGCCTGGCAAGCTACCCGTGATGTATTCGATATGCCAAACATAGTAACAACAAGTCTCACGATGGAGACGTTACTGGGCCCGCTTGAGAAAATCGATGAACAATGAGAGGACAGTGACAGTGACCAAAGCTGAGCACTTAGTTGGGGGTCAGGAGATGACAATCCTACTCATAGAGATTATTGCATGAACCTACTTATAGCTTACTATAAAATAGTTCTACTTGAACTGTGGAGCACCTTTGATCTTAAGTCTGAACCTCTGAATTCCTTCATAAGCTTATTCAAAAAGAATTTTAATGCATTACTGGATCTTCCAAAGCAGTAAATAAAGGAGTAATGGAAAGATCCTCACAGGATTGATTCATTTGTCAAGTTTCCCCTGTGTACTAAGAGTTAAGGGCAGAGAGCTTACTAAGATTCAGACTAATTTCTAACATCTGACCGGTTCTAAAATATGATGGTATGATGTTCTATTTTCATAGTCCTTCATGTATCCTAACTTAGTTTGGAAGGCAGATTTCCATGCAATTTAAAACTTTTTACTTTTCTTTGTTATTGCTTTACACTGCCATTGAATGTTCTGGCCTTTAGGGAAGGCATTTGATCACTGCACAGAAAGTCCAAGCTTACTTGTTGGATGTTCCATGAAGGTTTGTCAGGAGAGTGAAGTTGTTTCTGACACTTCTCAAGCTGGCGAGGACCTGGAGGGAAAATGTTTTGAGTGATTAGGAACAAAAGGAGAGGAAGAGGTTTGCCACACTTCGAAACATCATCCAGGGAGTATGTGGGGGTAAAAGGGCCAGACATGCCATTGTCATACCTACCTGGGCAAATGGTGTGACGATCAAGTCATCGCCGTGTCTGTTGAAAAAGAGAGGAGAGAAACATTTTTAAGTGCCTTTGACTCGTCATGGTGCCACATGGCAAGTTATCATATCAAATTCCACCAGTGTTAGGCACATTAAGGCGTCGTAAATCCCATCTTGGCAAAACACAGGGCTGACCAAAGCAGGACGTCTAAAAAATGAGCATCTCAGGAACTTTGAAGACAAAAGTTCACCCAGGGCTGTGAATGTTGCTCCACAAATGACTGAGTAGTGCTTTTCCATGTGAAGGTTCAGTCCCAGGCACCTCAGAGTACCAAATCCAACAACAAAAGTCCTCCTGTCCAGGCCTCTGGATTCTCAGTTTAAAGCATTTGCAAGGAAGCAATTCTCCTCAGGCCATCTTGCCTTGAAGCTGGGGGTGGGGGGGGGGGGTCCAGTGTTCTGCTGCCATTCCAGAGAGCTGTTGGTTTTCCAGAGCCAGGAAACTGGAAGGGTGGGTGCACAGACACAGAGCATCGGAAACATGGCACAACTGTCTGGAGAAAGGTTAACTTTGGATTTCCTGGCTTTTGTTGATTTGAACCACAGCCTTCATGCCATTTAAACACAGATTTTAGTCTGGGAATCCCATTACTTTTTGTTTTCAGTGTAACTTTTTTTCCCCCCTGAAAGTACCAAGGAAAAACTTTTCGAGGGAATGTACTGAGTGAGCCTATGAAGATGGTAAGTGTTTGTGGCTCACTGGATGCCTAAGAGAGAATTGAGCTGTACCTAGTGTTATGTAAATCTGACTGTAATCTAGGATTCATCAGAAGCATTTTCCGAAGTGCCCTCACTCCCTCACACCCCTCTTTCTCTGCCCTGTTTTGAGACAGGCACAAGCACACATGAAGCAGAAGTATCCCAAGAATCTTAGATGACAACACAGGATAAAGCTGCAGGTATCAGATCAATCTGTTACCTCGATGTGACTCAGAAGTGCAGCCTAGTGATGTCTGGTCTCTTCTCTGACCTTGTGGACAGCCCACAAGCATGTCAGTGGAATGCTAGGAGTACTACTTAACCGTAAGAAAGGATGAAGTCATGTACTTTGCTGATGCGTGGATGGATCCGGAGAGCCTCATGCTGGGTAAAATGAGACCGAAGGAGAGGGAGAGAAAACACAGAACGGTCTCACTCATTTGCAGGATATAAAGAAACGTACTAGGTAAATAACAAACACCCAAAGGCAATATGATAGAAAAGCAGGAGAGCTGGTGGTCCCCAATAGGAAGACTGCCACTGAAGGGGGTGAGGCTGGAGGAGTGGTGGTTAGATCAGGGAAGGGACCACTACCACAATGATTGAGAGAAGTGGTCGCTTGGAGTGCTGACTAGGACGTAAAGTGATATGCATGATGCCCTTTCAGTACCAGTATTAGAAACCACAGTGCCTGAAAGGAAAAAGAAAAAAGAAAAAGAAGCAGGCTGGGGTGGGGTGGGGTGGGGTGGGGTAGGGGCGCAGAAGGGAAACTGGGAACACTGTTGCAGGGAAGTGAACTGGTGAAAGGATTGGGGGTGGAACATTGTTTGCCTGAAACTCAACCATGAATAACTTTGCAACTTTGTAATCCACAGTGATTCAATTAAAGAATAAACAAACATGTGTCCTCACCGCTTAACTAGAGGAGCAGCTGCTCCCTGGGTTCATCTACAGAGAAGCTGACCTGGCACCCAGAGCCTGAATGCAGTTGCCCACCAGGGCTTCTCCTCTCCAGAGTCATGCGGGTTCGATCTCCCTTCGTTTTCAATACTAAGGGTCCCATTGGAGTGAATCTAGCTGACTTCCTGTGCTTTTACTTGTCTGGTTAAGGAGAAAGAGAGTATAGCTGAAAGTTGGCCTTTTTGGGTTGCGATGACATATGTGTGACTCTGTGCTAACCAGATTTGAGGCAAATCCTCTTGACATTCCCATTATAGATGACTTGAAGTCTCCGAGCCAACAGACAACTGCGTAAAACACACAACTAGCAAGTGGAAAAACTAGGGCTATTCGATTCTCAAAATATCTACACTTTGGGGGCAGTAGGGATGGAGTTGGGGCCACACCCGACTGTGCTCAGGGCGTACTCCTGGCTCTGTGCTAAGGGATCACTGCTGGTTCTGTGTTCAGAAATAAATTCTGTTGAGATTTTACTTTTAACCATTTATTTCTTGTTTTGGCTCCTGCCAACAAGTATTTATTATATGAAATTTAAAAATTTTTTTTTTTTTTTGGTTTTTGGGTCACACCCAGAGATACACAGAGGTTACTCCTGGCTCTGCACTAAGGAATTATTCCTGGCAGCGCTCAGGGGACCATATAGGATGCTGGGAATCAAACCTGGGTCGGCCGCGTGCAAGGGAAACGACCTACCCACTGTACTATCGCTCCAGGCCCAAGAAAATATTCTTAAAACTATATGTATACACATGGACTGGAATGATAGCACAGCAGGTAGGGTGTTTGCCTTGCACACGGCTGACCCGGGTTCGATTTCTCCATCCTTCTCAGAGAGCCCAGCAAGCTGCCGAGAGTATCCTGCCCGCATGGCAGAACCTGGCAAGCTCCTCGTGGCATATTTGATATGCCAAAAACAGTAACAACAAGTGTCACAATGGAGACTTTACCGGTGCCCACTTGAGCAAATGGTGAACAACAAGAGGACAGTGCTATGACAGTGCAAATGTACATACATATATATTGACTGTGGAATGATAGATGCCAAGAATGGCTATGTGATGGTGTGAAAAAAGGTGAGTTGAGAATCACATATTAGAGAAAGCAGAAGGGCTTGATGGAATGGAAGGTGTTGAAATGAACTTTGAAGGCAGGCTTTCAAGGACATGGATGGTACTGACAACAAAGGCAGTGAAAAGGAAAGAATTTAACATGTCAGGGAGATGCCTGGTGGCTGTTTGGATAGAGCCAAGCCCATTAGCGGCTCATCTTTGTAGAGAATAAGATGAAAGGTACCTCTTACCCACACTGTGGACACAATGGATGATCCTTAGGGAGTTGCTGCAGAAGAGAGGTGTTGGTGAAGGGTTTTAGTGAGACAGGTAAATGGTAATATGCAAAATGAAATACCACTGGAGATAGTTGGAAAGATAAAACAGCCATTCAGGGGAGAGGAAAAGGGAGCAGCACAGCAAGAAGCAGGTAAGGACATTTGGGAGAGGCCTTAGGTATCTTCCAAGATTCTGGAATTTCAGTGAATAAGAGATGAGGGCATGGCACAGCCTGGCAAGCTACCCGTGGTGTATTTGATACACCCAAAACAGTAACAATAATGAATCTCATTCCCCTGACCCTGAAAGAGCCTCCAATAGTATTGAGAAAGAGTAAAGGAGAGGCTGCTAAAACCTCAGGGCTGGGACAAATGGAGACGTTACTGACACCCGCTGAGTAAATCGATGAACAACGGGATGCTGGTGGTGATACAGTGATACAGTGAAGCGATCAGGAAGAGATTGTTCAGTTTCTCAAAATGGGTGTGTGGGAAAGCAGTGGAGGCATGAGGAGAAAGTAGAAGGGGAGGAGACGTGGGGGAGTCTTGCCACTTCCTAGCTTTGAATCCTAAGATACTCATGGATACACCAAGTGGGCTGGAATGTGGGAATCAGAGTTAAGAGAGGGAGATGGCGAAAGCCACAGGGGGTGGTTTCCTGAGGAAGAGAGAGGCAAAGGAAGAGCATGGGGGTGAGGGGAGATTCTTGGAGCTAAGCCCGAAGGAGACAGGATAGAGGGAAGGGAAGAGAAGTTGGAAGAAAAGCAGAAGGGTGGACTCCGTCAAGAACAGTCCTTCCCTCGGTCTTTTCTGGAGAGGAACTTCAGAGGGGTGAAACATCTGGCTTTTTGTTCAGATTTCTGCTGTGAAGTTCACTTTGTTCCTTAACACAACCAACGGGGTGAATTGGGGATAAAGGAGCGGAGTTAGAGTTTAGCAGGACTTTCGTGGCTCCTGGATTTCTGGAGTCTAAACACTGGATGGAGGGCCAAATCCTGAAAGCAAATCCACCTATGTGGAAGCTAGCGCTGAAGTGATTAAAAGGGGGAGTGCCCCAAACTGCTCATACTCGGAACTCCAGGGAGATAAATAAACATGATCAGGGCCCCAGAGCAACATAAGTTTATCATTAGAGAATTAAGATTAGGAGAACAAAATATTCCGAGGCAAAAGATGAATGTTTGGATTCCATAAACGGCTTTTTAATACTCTAAAAAATAATAATTTAATATATATATAGATGCAAAGATACTCAGATCTGCCTCCTTTAAAAGATTTGAGTTGAAAGAGCTAAAGTTGTTGGGTTAGATAACAGCTTCTGGAGAAATAATCAGACGACTTATAGATAATATATGGCAAATAAAGCCGAGACACAAAGCAAAACACAACGCATCCTCTCTATTTGCGTTCAGCTGAATTATTTCTGGAAGCATTCAGAATTTTAAAAGTCTGGTTCAGTATGTTAATAGTTAAGATTCAGATGGCTTGGAAATAATAACCCCCATCCCCCCGATTGATTAATAAACGGATCTGCTTCTTAATTTCCCAAACCACTGGCAAGAAAACAAGGCTGGGTATTCAGAACCGTTTCAGGAGCAACACCTAGTGGCTTAACTGGCACATTGCAATTTAGAGAAGACTCAGAAGTGCCTAATTCCAGTTGAGTTTGCTCAAAATATTGAGATGATTTTCAAAACTCTAGATTTTTTATTTAGGTACTAATTTGCAAAGTTATCTACCAGAAAGTTTCAGGAATGTAGTATTCTCACCTCCAATCCCACCATCTTTACATCAGTGACCTCATACTCCCTCCCAGCCCCAAACCTAATTCCTTCATACATTTTAAATTTTACTTACTGTGCTTTGGCTATTCTCTCAGTACTGTGGGGTATAGTAGTTGAGATATGTACATATTTCTACTTTTCCGTCACAGATAAGCCCTAGACCCCAAACCTTGCCCTATGTTACTTCCAGACCTCCTCTTCTTGTTTTCCTTCCATTTCACT